TTTTCTAATCTTGTGCTTAGCACACACTCGACACTTTCTCAGGGCACCATTCTTCTTATTGTTACTGGGAGGAACATGGACCATTTTGTGAATTTTCAGGCCAACCTCTAGACGATTTGCTGGCTCTTTCACTGGTTGTCTTTTCAGGGTCGCGGGCGGAGGCATGACTGCACTCGAGTCGGACGCAATAGATTCGTATTCACTCCTTGACTCTTCTCCCTCTCCACCCTGTTTGTTTGGTTCAGTCAGTTTTCTACACAGTCCAATATAAAATCTTTGAATTTGTAATTTCTCTTCTTGTATTTTTCGTTTGTTGTGTTCTTTTTGAATAGAATGAAACTACTCAACCGCAAAGACATGTTTTGTCCATACCTTGGAGTGTGAAATAGGGGCCTAGTGGACAAATATTCTTCAATTTCATGGCGTTTGTCGATTCCTGTCATGAACACATATCCTAAGTATGTCCAGATTTCATCTGATGTGACATATTTGTAATTGTGTTTTCGAGAGTGAGGAGCTAACTCATGTGTGTTGAAGTGCTGGTGAGCATAGCGATTGGTTTCAGTAGTGATGTGATTTACCAAGTCGTCATCCAGAAAAAATTTTAATCAATGAAAAGGGATGCATTTTATGTGTTATATCAATTTTGATCCCGAAACTACTAGCAAATGGAACTTTTGTTGGTACAATGTCTCCGTACGTTCATGAGATGGGCGTGTCAGGCACCGCACTCGTGGTAGGTAAATGTTCATGACTACTGTCCTGTGGATCACTGTCTATCACTGTATTATTGTCACTATCAACTTCATCTAATTCAGGAATCATTATTTCATCGCCACTATCATCAGAACAAATCTCGTTCACGACATTTTCTAACTGGTCTGTAGAAACACGAAGACACTTGCTGCAAGAAGCCAAGGTGAAACCGAATGAATGTGAAATATTTTCTGACCTTTTCCTTCTCAGAGGGTTCTGACAGTAATATAGACCCCCACAAAGTTTACAAGGGTTCTTTACAAACATGCACAAAAACTATCATATATATGTCTTTGGTTGATGAGTGCCAAGAGAGCAAAGAAGGGAAGAGATTGTCAAAGCGTTAAAACACGCCAATGCCAGGGAATGGCTGGCATCGTCCGGGCGTTAAAACACGCCCGCGCCAGTCAAAGAGTTAGTGGGTTTCGACATAACAGATCAACTACAGATCAGGTCTTTTGCCTTTGTCAAATATTGGAGAAAAAAATGGGAGTACGATGAGACAGTACATTAGCTATTCATAGACTTCAAGAAAGCCTATGATTCAGTTAGGAGGGAAGCATTGTACAATATTCTGATGGCGTTTGGGATACCCGTGAAACTGGTTAGGTTCATTAAAATGTGTTTAAACGAAACGTATAGTAAAGTCTGTGTAGGTAAACATCTGTTTGACAAATTTCGTATCCAGAATGGTCTAAAACAAGGAGATGCTTTATCGCCACTCCTTTCCAACTTTGCTTTAGAGAATGCCATTAGGATGGTTCAGGGAAACCAGGTGGTACTGAAATTAAACGGGGCACATCAGCTGTTGGTCTATGCTGATGATGTGAATCTACTGGGTGATAATGTAGATACTGTCATCACGTTTTGGGTATATAACGCGACAAATAACTTCACACCGTACCCGACAGAGCGAATTTATTGCACATTCGCTCTTACAATCACACCATTTACAATCTCACAATTACTGCCATCAGCAGTACCACAAATACTAGACTGCAATTAACTGCTTACTCTTTCTCTAGTAACTGGCTCAATATTCACCACTCATTAACTAATCACTTACTACTCACTGCTAACTGCTCTGAATAGTGTTCGCTGCTGAATAGTGTTATTTAGCCTCGTCACGGACAAGACAGAAAACAGTTACGTGATAGGTACCGCTGTTGCCTGATGCCCTGTTTGCCGATAGCCTAGCAACGCTGTCGGGAGTTGTTTACTGCTGCATAGCAACCGCGGCATCCCTTGGTCACGTCACCATGGTAGGGGGCGGAGTGTTGACAGGCCTATTACCATAGCAACGGCAATGCTCCGAAGGTGTTAAGTCACCGCTGGGGAGGGGGTGTCCTGCATAGTGCAAATAAGTCACAATACCATAAAGGAAAACATACAGACTTTAATTGACGCAAGTAAAGAGGTTGGTTTAGAAGTAAACACAGAGAAAACTTATTATATTGTGACGTGTTGCGCAATGCAGGACACCCCTCCCCCCGCCAGCGGTGACGTAACACCGTTGTCGTTACTAGGGTAGCAGGCGGGTCAACACTCCTTCCCCTGCCCCGCCAGCGGTGATGTGGCCAAGAGATGCCGCGGTTGCTATGCAGCAGTAAACAACTCCCGACAGCGTTACCAGTAACACCTGTAAACACAGCGCCAGACAACAGTGGCGCCCATTACGTGGCTGTTTTCTGTATTGTCCAGAACGAGGCTACATAAGGAGCAGCGAAGACTATTCACAGTTAGTTACAAGTCAGTTCTCAAGTTCTCGAGTTAAAGTGTATCGGCGGCCGAAGACAGTTCTCCAGTCAGCAGTGAACAAGTTAAAGTGTATCAGCGGCCGAAGTTAGTTCTCCAGTTCTCTAGTTACGAGTCAGTCACCAGTTAATTGCAGTACAGTATTTGTGATACTGCCGATGGCAGTAATTGTCAGATTGTAATTTGTGTAATTGTAAGAGCGAATGGGAAATAAAATTCACTATATCCAATAAGGCATGAATTTACTTGTCGCCTATACACCCGACACGTCACAATATGTTACTGTCTCATCACTAAAATGCAGGGCAAAATCATGACATAAAGATAGGAAACAGATGTTTTGAAAATGTGGCACAGTTCAGATATTTGGGAACAACAATAACAGATTGAAACCTGATTGAGGAGGAAATTAAGAGGAAATTGAACTTGGGTAATGCTTGCTACCATTCAGTCCAGAACCTTTTGCCTTCTTGTCTGCTGTCCAAAAACATAAAAATTAGAATATACAAGACTGTAATTTTGCCTGTGGTTCTGTATGGGTGTGAAGCTTTGTCTCTGACATTAAGGGAGGAACATAGACTGAGGGTGTTTGAGAACAGGGTGTTGAGGAGAATATTTGGACCGAAGAGAGATGAAGTGACAGAGGGTTGGAGAAACCTGCATAATGATGAGCTTCATAACTTGTACTCTTCTCCAAGTATAATTAGACGAGGAATGCGTATAGGATATTGGTGGGAAAGGCAGGAGGAAAGAGACCACAGGGAAGACCAAGGCACAGGTTGCTGGACAATATTAGAATGGATCTTAGAGAGATAGGATGGGATCGTGTGGATTGGATAGATCTGTCTCAGGATAGGGACCAGTGGAGGTCTCTTGTGAACACGGTAATGAACCTTTGGGTTCCATAAAATGCTGGGAAATTCTTGATTAGCTGCAGAAGGGCTGAGCTCCATGAAGTAAGTAAGTACTTCGGTTTCCCCTGCCAATATTCATTCCACTAAATTCTGCATCATAATCACCTGGGGCAGGCTACAATAGGCCAATCAGTGACCGCCGTGCGGAGTTCTCCCAGTTGGACTCCACCCCTCATTGAGCAAATTAAAAGAAACACGACTAGGTGGCAGTCTCTCTTCTGATTGGTGGACATTCAGCAGTCACTACCAGTCACTACTGCTGACATGGTAAAACACACTGCTTCGAAGATAAGGGCAAGCCGCTGTCTTCATTTTGTTCAGTTTCTTCAAGCGGCTGTAAAAAGAACGCCTGAAAATGGGAAGTGGAAACCATACCTCGTCGAGGTCTTATTTCACAATACGTATTAACGCATAACAAAATTGTTAGTAAATTAGCGAATATGTCTTCATTACTGATGGTGCAAAGTTCATATCTGATAGGATTATTGCAGGGTTGATAAATAGCTAGTGGATATCATGAACAAATCTGTTTATGAGATCTTCTCAACACGATACAAGAAATGTAACTGAACCGGAAACGGAATAGCAGAGATAAAGAACATAGATGGCAATAGTTTACCTAATGCTCTACTCTCAACATGCCCTCTTAAATTTTCAACATACAAATAGTACAAAAAAACACAATGGTAATCATATACATTGTAATAAGTCTGACCTACATGCCCATCATTTGCATAAACTTAGAATGCAGTGGATAACATAAGGCTTTTGTCATAATGTTGGCTATCATGTTATCTGTTGACAAATACACAACTTTACAATACCATCTTCCACAGCCTTCCTTATAAAGTGATATCTTATTTCAATGTGCTTTGTACGCTTGTGAAATATGGGGTTGTTAGCAAACTTTATAGCACCTTGATTACCACAATGCATAATTATACGGTTACTTGTTACATTCATCAATTCATCCAACAAGCCCTTAAGATGAATAGCTTCCTTTGCACCTTCAGATAACGCAATGTACTCTGATTCAGTGCTAGATAGGGCAACACAATCTTGCTTCTTGTTACCCCAAGATACAGCTCCTCCACTTAACTTAAAGATAAATCCAGAGTATGAACGTCTATCCATTGAGCAACCACCCCAATCTGCATCCACAAATCCATCAATACTGTCATCTTTGGGTGAAAAAACTAGACTCTTGTCACAAGTGCCCTTTAGATACCTCAATACTCGCTTTGCATACTTGTAGTGCTCTACTGTGTAGCAATTATTAAACTGGCTTAAACAGCCTACCGTGTAACAAATATCCAGTCTTGTACTTATAGCTATATACATTAGGCAACCTATTAAGCTTTGGTAAGGCATGTCAGGTAAATTCCCTTTATCACCTACTTCCAGTCTTAAGTTTTTTCCATTGGCGTTTTTGCAGGTCTCGCATCAGACATCTCAAACTTCTCCAATAATTGCTTAACGTAATGTTTTCGGTCTAAGGAGATGGAACCAGTCTCCTCGTCATAGGAAATATTCATTCCTAAACATAATCTTGCTTTTCCTAGGTCTACCATTTCAAATTCACTCATCAAAGCTCTCTTCGCTTCCCGAGTCTTTTGTTCATCATTTGATAAAATGAAGTGATCATCAACATATAATGCAATAATAACAACGGTCTTATCTCTCCAAAAATAATACACACATGGTTCATGTTTGGACTGCTTAAACTCCATTAAAGCACCATGTATCTTTCTATTCCACATTCGTGATGCTTGTTGCAAACCATAAATTGATTTCTGTAACAAACTTTTGTCTCCTCTCCTTTCAAAACAAAAGATTCAGGCTGTTTCATGAACAATACCTCATGTAAGTCCCCATTTAGAAACGCTGTTTTCACATCCATGTGATATACATTCAACTTCAATTTGACTGCCAGGCTAATCAACAGCCTAAAAGTTTCTCGCCTAATTACCGGCGCGAAGGTTTCATCACAATCAATACCTTCTTTCTGAGAAAACCCCCTGGCAACCAATCTAGCTTTGTAACGGTTGTTTCCACCCGCATCTTTCTTCAATTTAAAGACCCATTTACAGCTGACTATATTTGCATTGTTTGGTTTGTCTACCAACACCCATGCACTATTTTTCATCAAAGATTTGTATTCATCATCCATGGCAGCCAGCCATTTGTCTTTGTCATATCGGGAAAGAGCATTAGATACAGTTACCGGATCATCTATCTGACCTGTACTCCCACTAAATCTAACTTATATTTTTTAGATTTCTTCCGCCACTGCCCAGAGCGAACCTGCCCTATACATACTTCTAACATTCCAAGTACCAAATCTCGTATCCATTTACATTTCGAATAAACTTAGATATTTTCCGTATATAACCTTTATTAAGGTATGTATAATTAGTGTGATAGAGCCCTCTGAACCTCTGAATGTACACCAGCACAACGCGGATCAAACTAGCCATAACGTTATCTTGGTAATACATTCAGTGTCATTAGCATTCTAATACGTTAATTCAGCTATAAAATTAAAACTTACTTTCGGTATGTCTAGAAGACACTGTTTCGGTTGGTGCGGATATAAATTACATGGCTATGGTTGTGTGTTTGGCGTGTTTGGTGACACTGATGACCGATTATTATGGCTGATCAGTGTATAGCACAGATGACTAATTGTAAGAATGACTAAGAGGACTGTCGTTAATCTTTGAACCGTCCCAATCCACGCTTGAAACGTTTGGAACCGCGGAAATATTGCAACGATTGCAACCATTGCAACGTTGGTGTCAGTTTAATTTCGGCGTTTTATAAGGAAGTGGTGTTGTGATCGTTGTGATGCAGTGGTTCATTCGTGGCGTTTCAACTAAATGATCCAAACAACGGTTCCATGATGTTACGTTTCTTGGCTATGTTAGATTGTGAGATCGTTTTTGTGTTTGTTTAAGCTTTTAACTGTATAGTGAAGTCCTGAATGTATTTGTCTTTTGTGTTTGCGTTGATGGGATAAATGCAGTACTGTTTTCTGTTACTGTAATCCTTAATGAGAATCGAAGATTGAGGACTAGTGTCGAGTAGTAAAGATTAGAAAATTAAAAATGCAGGGAGCGATAAAAAATATTTTTAGGAAAATGACCAATTTTGGAGGTGTTAAGACAGATGAAACCCAGCCCATCGATTCAGGTTTTAACGAACAGAAAATGAATGATAATAGAAGTTCTGTGATGAAAGAAACATCTGGTGCCGAATTTAACAGACTGAATGTACATTACTCTTCAACAACGAAACTCACTCCTGATGACTCAAAATGTCCGCGCCAAAATGTATCAACATTTCTAATATTGTTACTTGTAATCATACTGTTTATGGTTATCCCTATTGTAAATCTGTTACATTTCTTTCACCGTCTTAATTCTCAGTGGCCATCCAACGAATTTAATCGTGTTATGACAGATCATAGCCATTCTAACCCAAGGAAAGAAATCATGCAAGAAAGGGAAAATACAGTGGTTTTCCACAACATAATGAGACAAGTTGTTGAAAAAGTGGCACATAATAACAGCGTTTCTTCCAGCCCTGTCATTCGTCCACCAAAAAGTGCTTCTTTCAAACAGTGTGCAAAAGTTTCAGATGAACTCAAATTTGATTGCTATCCAGAAGATGGGACAAATGAATCACGTTGCAAGGCAAGAGGATGTTGTTGGGTTCCAAAAAAGAAGAAACTATTGAATAAAGAGCGCAATCAAAACAACAGGACACAAAATACTGCATTTAATGTCCCATACTGCTTTTATCCTCTGTCTTATGGTGGTTATAGATTCATCAACATAACTGAAACACCTTCTGGTTCAGTTTCATTTCTTCAAAGAACATTCAAATCGCCATATCCTGATGATGTAGAAGTGATTAGGATGGATATCAGATATGAAGCAGAACAGCGACTTCGTATAAAGGTAAAGGCAAAGCCTTCTTGCTTTAATGTTCACTCACTCATGGAGCTGACCCCTTCTTGCGAAGCTGCAATTGTGCAGCTACTCAAGGATTTCCCAGCATTTTATGGAACCCAAAGATTCATTACTGTGTTCAAAAGAACACTCCACTGGTCCCTTTCTTGAGCCAGAGTAATCCAGTCAATACCATGCCATCCTATCTCTCTAAGATCCATTTTAATATTGTCCACCCACCTACATCCTGGTTTTCCTAGTGGCTCTTTCCTTCTGGCTTTCTCACCAATATCCTATATGCATTCCTCTTCACCATTTGTGCTACATGCCCTGCCCATCTCACCCTGCTTGACTTGATCATTCTAATTATACATGGCGAAGAGTACAAGTTATGAAGCTCCTCATTATGTAATTTTCTCCAGCCTCCCTTCACTTCATCTCTTATGTTAATGTTAGTCTTTTAAAATTCCTTGAAGTTATGGCTGTAGGTAACATTATTTTGATTTTTGAACATTTTTGAAAAATGTTTGAAGAATAACCAATCATAAGGAAATATTTTGGGATTGTGTGTTGGTACAGAACAGATGACAGTGTGCTGAATTTGAGTTTCTCCTGGCGATGACTATGAAGAATACTGTCTTCTGTGATGTGGTCCCATGTAGTTTGGAGACAGCCCCAACATTCTGGGAGGAGCATATCGCCTTTGTGTTGAAGCGCAAGCCAAGCAAGAAGCAAGGAGAACCAGGCTAATGCTGCATTATGTTGCTCCAGAATGGCAATGCTCTTCCAGCTACATGGCATTACCACCCAGAAGATTGTACTTTTCTGGGTAGAATTTATTTACATTCAGTAGTTCCTTTATAAAGCAATGTTACTGTCACAATACAAACACAGTAATGGTGATGATAAGGTAAAGTTTTCCCTGCATGTAAATAATTAAACACCATGCCATAGTGTATATAAGGAAGTGGAGGTATAGCTCCAGCATTCTTGACCTTAACACTAGGTGGAGGTGAGTCGTCAACTTTACACCCATGCTGCTTGACTGCCAGCGAAAGAGCCCCCAGTACCCATTGTGTAGGAGGCTGGGTTGGCCAAAGAGCCCGTCTGAAGAGGGGGGGGGTGGAGCATGTGTGCATCTTTCTCTCTCGCCCCTGCTGGTAATTGAACCCTGTTTCATTGGCTGTCCAGCTTGTGAACGAGCTATTCGAGCTCTTATACAAATACAGTGCTTAGTATAGGTACCAGTATGAATATATCAAAAAATAGTGACTGTACCGCATTACAGACATCTCAGAAGAAGAATATGTGATCCAGAACAAAGTAATTATTTGAAGGCAACATTCTCTTCATTTGCAAGACTTCTGAGAGTAGGAAATGACTTGGTAGAGATGGTGTAGAGACTGTGATAGTGTAATATAAACTTTCAATGCTTGATGGAAGATAATAAAATTAAGGTTATTTTCTCCGTATACTTAATTAATTAAGCAACATGACGTGAAGATGGGTGGGAGGGTGGAGGTATAGCTCCACCATTCTTGACATCTGTGCAGGTTCCCTGTGTGCATGCCGCTGTTTATCTTTACTATGTTTGCATGTACAGTGTTGGATGATTTACTTGACCTGTTTGTGGTTGTTGAGCTGGGGTAATATAGTCAGTATAGCGATTGATTACGGGCTGGACGACTGAGGGATCGGAGTTAAGAGTCCCAGTAGGGTCAAGAATTTTCTCTTCTCCAAATTGTCCAGACTGGCTCTTGGGCCCACCCAACCTCCTATCCGATGGGTACTGGGGGTTCTTTCCCCAGGGGTAAAGTGGCCGGGGCATGAAGCAGACCACTCACCTCCAGCTAGTGCTGAGGTCAAGAAAATGTGGATCTATACATCCACCCCACCATACACCTTTATGGCATAGTGTTTAATTAATTGAGCACAGGGACAACTTTACCTTTACCCCTTTATTTGCGGTTGTACCACACCTTAAAATCTTACTGCTTTTTGCCTATCTATGAGCCAGAAGAGGTTGGGAACCAGATTTTATTGATATCACAAGTATCTTATACCAGGGATGCAGTGTTTGTGGTGTGGTCTTATGGATTAAGCTCTCATTTCGTGGCTGTTTGTTTTCTTAATTTCTCAGAGTCAGTAATTTTGTTTGTAGTTTCAGGATTAGGCGCATTGTGTTTAATTCATTTCACTTTGATTTTAACAGGTGCATGAAACTGTCTTGAAAAACACACCTTGTCTCTGGATTCATTGCTTCTGTTTTTCATTATTACGCATTTCTGGAAGTAGGAGAACTTTCCCATGTCATTTCTTTGTATTTTTAAGTCTTAATTGCTTAGAGTGAAGTGAGCCATGTATTATTTTGACAGTTTTTAATGATAACAGTTTTATTGGTTGGAAGTTACTTTTTGAGAGTTATATCCAAGCCAGTGGTCACCATTTTGAGACATGTGCTTGAGCAGTGATCTGTAGGAACATAGGAATATCAAGAGTATTATGACAAGTGCTCATATTCCAGTGTTGTGTTTCAGATTGTGGATCCACTCCACAGTCGGTTTGAGCCTCCATATCCGGAGGTTCCAGTAGTGGAACATAATTTACCCAACATGGACTACAAGGTGCAGCTGGACAAGACCAAGACTGGATTTAAAGTTACAAGAAGTAGTGACAACATGGTTATGTAAGTTATCTTTCAAACGTATTCCTGCAGATAGAAGTTATTGTTATGATATATTTAGACTGTTTAAGTTTGTAGAAATCCTGTATATATATATACCGTATGTCCAAAAAGTATCCGACTTTATTTTTTTCCACGGTAAGTAATGGCCAAAGGGGTGGGGAAACTGAGCATAGTGGTAGAAGGGTCTTTCATGTGCATGTGTGATTTTTTGCTTAATCGCAACACTGCCGGATGCGTCTGTGGCTGCCAGATAGCGAAGTGGTGTAACATGTGTTCTTCGCATTCTTGTTTTGCTCAAGATGACAGAACGCTTGGAGCAGCAATACTGCATTAAGTTTTGTCAGAAACTTAGGGATACCCAAGTGGAAACAATTCGCAAAATTCAGCAGGCTTTCGGTGATGATGCAGTGGGGGTCACTCAAATTAAAGAGTGGTTCAACCACTTTGAACATGGCCGTACGTCTGCGGACAGTGAGCAGCATTCCGGGAGACTCTCAATGGTGATTTCATTGAAAAAGTGCGGACACTGATCATGGAGGACCTTCGTTTGGCCGTCCGTGAGGTTGCTGATGAGGTTGGGATCAGCAGAGGTTCCTCAAACACAATTTATACTGAGGATTTGGGCATGTGAAGAGTGGCGGCAAAATTTGTGCCCAAGCTGCTTTCACCAGAGCAGCAACAACTTTGTCTTGAGGTCGTGCAGGACATGCTGGAGTGCGCCAACAGGAATCCTGAGTTCCTGAAGACTGTGATCACTGGTGACGAATCGTGGGTGTACGGATATGACCCGGAAACCAAGGTCCAGGCATCACAATGGAAACATCCAACATCCCCAAGGCCCAAAAGAGCACAACAGGTTTGGAGCAATGTGAAGGTGATACGGACTATTTTTTTTTGATTACCGGGGTGTTGTGCATCATGAGTATGCACCACTAGGCCAGACTGTCAATAAGGAGTACTACCAAGAAGTCCTCCGCCATCTTCGTGATGCAGTTCGGCACAAGAGACCAGAGCTGTGGGACGCACACAACTGGCAGCTGCATCATGACAGTGCCCCAGCTCATTCATCACACCTGATCCAGGGTTTCCTGGCCAAGCACGGCATTCCGCAGGTTCGCCAGGCTCCCTACTCTCCTGAAATGGCTCCTTGTGATTTCTGGCTTTTCCCGATATTGAAAGCACTGCTAAAAGGCTGCTGTTTTGGCAGCCGCGAGGACATCATACAGAACACGACGGCGCAGCTGCACACCATTCCAAAAGAAGCCTTCCAGAATTGCTTCCAGTGATGGAAGGACCACTGGGCTAAGTATGTGGAGTCACAAGGGGCCTACTTTGAAGGCGATTAGGTTTTGTAACCACCCAGATACAGAACTTTTCTTTCCTGGCCCAAGGTCGGATACTTTTTGGACAGAGTAATATAATATATATAGTACTTTGTAATGCTTTTACCCAAGTCAGTCTTGGCTCTGTAAGAATTATTAGCTTTTCCATTACTTCATAACAGAACACGATACTGTAATATTTTTTTACAGTTCCCTTGTACTGTCACATCTATGAATTACTATAGGTGGGGTTTGGATTTGTAATTGGATTTATTAAACACTTACAGATTGTACAGATTGTAACTACAAGTAACAAAAGCACTATCGCTAATTTATACTCTGCAGTTCACTACATTACGCACTGTGTCTTCTCATTCTGCTGTATCTTCACTGGTTGTCACCTGGTAACGGCTTCCAACACTGTAGCTTCCTCAGCTTCCATGTTCATTCCTTACTGGCTAGCGACTGTCTCACAACTCACTCATTGCTCCAACTAACTCCCAGGCTGGCGGCCATCTCACACAGACCTCTCACTCTTCTGATTGACTAACTAAACCCTAAACCTTAAACCTGTCCTCTCTGTAACACCTAGGCATGGACCACATAGAAAACACTGCTACTCATTGTTGTAGTTCAATTATTGCTTGTTAGGAATCTTTTGCCTAGGAGCAGGTGTTGTTTGCCGAGTCATTACTTAACAATGGGTCTTCATGCTACCATGTCATGAGCATCTCTCTTAATGAACTTTTCATTTTCATACTGTCATGAAACTATTGCATTGAAGCAGCACATTCATTGTAATATCATTTACCTGTGTGATCTCTAATAGAGAACTTATGTGCAACATACTCCTAGTTGTGTGTGTGTGTGTGTGTGTGGAATATATTGTTTGCAGCTTAACTGTAAAGCTTTTGGAGCATTTGCAGTCGAATGGAGCACCTATTAGATTTGCTCAGCCAATCTTTCATTCTGTACACATGGAGAAACTAGAACTGCTCAACAGATTTTAATGAAATGTTATATTTGGAATTTTATGAAGAATTGTTGAACTGTTTCAATTTTCATTTAGATGGGAAACCTTTAGTAGCAAGTTCACATGAATGCCTGTGTGCATTTGTGCACATATCTGTAGCATAATTTGAAAAATATTTGTCAGAGCAAGAAATATTTCAAACCAAATTTATACAGAAGAATAAAATTAATATTTTATGCCGACTGTACTTTTTCCACGAATCTTAATGATTTTTGAGAGAATTGAAGAGTTTATAGATGCTATGCATACATTTCTAAATTTCTGTATTAAAAAATTTACCAGGGTCTGCTGAGCACATGCAGAACTTGGGATATCAAGTGTTTTTCATTTATTTGTATGTCTTTTCTCCTTCATTAGCACAGATAATTGGTTGTGTACCATAGAGACAGATATAGGAACTGCACCTTTCAGCCAGAATCACTTTGAGGAACAGCAAAGGAAAAGAATGAGTGTGACATTTGAAGTTTTCATGGCGTTGATTGCAGTTGTACTATCTTCTGAGATGTTGCGCTGTTTAGTCTGATAGAAGTTTGTTGATATTCTGATGAACATGTTGTTTCTGCCATCAGGGTTGAAGAATAAGCTTTTTAGGACTAATTTGTTTATGGTTCTCCTTGCTTTGTTGGTTCACTCTGGGCTCCTATCCCAGCCTATAATTTGTACTACTTTTTGACACATAGCTGACTGCTTGTTGCTTACTCCTCGCTTCTTTGCTTTGTTGGCTTGTTCTTCAACCCTGAAATGTTGGTAGATTTCAGGCAGAGAGCATGGCTCCACATCTGAGAAGCTAGTACTATCCATAGAAGAATGAATTTTGTTTGGCTGATTGGTTCATAGGTTGTCTCTTATCATCTGAAGAGGTCATGAGGCATCGAATGAAATAATGGTATGATCATGTGCCTTGAGCTTGGAAGGGTCTGGACAGGAAGTGCTGTGGCCTATTTTAAAATTAATTCCCATCATTTGTCTGAAAACACTGAATAATCTGTTATTGGGATGGATTTTGCATTGGACAACTCTGTGCAGCTTTGCAGATTAATTCTGACTCATGTCATCCTGATTAAACCTTTTTATACTTTCTCATCCTGGAAAACTTTTATTTCTAGTTTATTTGATGAAGATGTCATAAACTCAGACTGTATAGTGTTGAATGACTGGATGATAATAGTTTGTGGTTTAATTGATGAGGCTTTCAACATCTTAGACTTTATGTCATTGAATGGTGTGACTGGTGAATATAATGAATCGGAAAGGATTTGGAAGGAAGCAGTTATGGTCTAATTGAGGTACAATAAGGATAGCTTGTGTCCTGTCTGAAATTTGAATGAAGCAGCTACACAAGCCTGCATGGTCAGAGGCTTAGTGAATAATGAATTTGAACTTAGGTGGAAGCAAGTGGTTGTGGCATAATTTAAGGCACTGTCCCAACTTTTTCATGGAGTAACTGAGGAAAGCCACAAGAAATCTCAGTGAGGATGGTTGATGTCCCAGCCAAGATTCCAGCTGAGTACCTACCAAATATAGAATCATCATTTGAGCCAGCCTGCATGGTTTCGGGCTTATCCTGGAACTTTATAGCAAAGCCTTCGTCTTACCCAGGCCACAATTTGTTGACATTCATGTACTCTGTCTAATCTTTGACAGTGCATCATTATCAGAGAATAACGTTGCTTGTTATCTTATCATTTTGAAGTTCCGTAATGCTATTTTTATCATATAATGTGGACCACTGTTGCCATACTGGAGGTCTTGTTGAATATGGAATTTTCCTTCCATGAATTTGCCTGCTTAATGTATCACATAACCTCAGAGATGTTTTAGATACATGTCTTCATTTATCCCCCAAATCATGCAGCAACATTTTAACATATTGTGGCATTTGTACCTATTGCTAGGCAATGACTGTGAAATAAATGACTATACAACAGCCTTTGCTAGGTAATGGCAATAGACGTGAATGCAGCAATTCCGTGTGAACAATTGGAAACAGCAGCAGAAGAATGGTGTTTTGTATGTGGTCAATGCTGAGATGGTATAAGCAGGACAAGTGAGGAGTTAAGTGTCATTAGTCAGTCAGTGAGTGAGTTAGTGAGTTAGATAACTGCTGGGGTTTGGCCATTGGGAGCTGTTGATATGAGAAGCTGGTAGCTGACAGTTCAGGAATCCAGAGAAAAGCATTACCAATTCAGACCCCATCTTTAGTCATAAAATCATGTGACAATATGATACAATACTAATAATGAGTTAATACATTTTCGTTTTTAGCTTTGATGCTCAAGATGTTGGAGCACTTATTTTTGCTGACCAGTTCTTGCAATTGTCAGCTCTTCTGCCCTCCAGCTATGTATATGGCCTTGGGGAACACAGATCTACACTGCTTCTCTCTGTCCAGTGGCAGAGATTCACAATGTTCAACCATGATCATGGACCCGTAGAAAATGTAAGTAAAGGAAAGTATACTTACGTGTTTGAAGGTTGACCTGGAATCATTTTCTTCTTGAAGATGTGAGCCCCAGGAAAAAGAAAACTCTTTTATGGACAGTTGGTGGCAGCAGTGCACTCACTGCCTGGCAGGTGGGCATATGCCATGCTTCTGCAAATTAGAGTTGGACAAAGTGGCGCTTAGGCAGGTTTTCTCCGAGCATTTCGGTTTCCCCTGCCCATCTTCAAGCCACCAGTTGCTCCACAATCACCCTCACCTATCATCTGGGGCTGGTACAATAGGCCAGAAGTGGCCGCAGTACAAGGGACTTAGTCCCACCCCACTAGCAATAATAAAAAAAAAATAGTACAAGATGGCTTGTAACCTTGTCACTCCTAGTGTAGAGCAGTGCTGTATCATCAGATTCATAGTGAAAGTGAAACCAGAAATTTTCCGCAGGTTAAGAGCACAGTGCTGGGAAGAGACTCTGTCATGTGCAAGTGTCTGTGGTTTATATAGTAAGTTTTCTGAAGGCCCTAAAGAAGTTAAGGACACCGGTGTCAGCTGGCAAGATGGATGGCCAGTGTGTTTTGGGATTCAGAAGAAGTGATTGATGTTAATTTTCATCCATGTGATATTACAGTTAATGCACAGGATTACAGTAACTTGCTTCACACTAATGTTCACCAAGCAATTCGGGGAAAGAAAGAGACCCAGGAACTGTCAACAGAAGCTCACCTCCTGCATAACAGTGCTTGCCCAGATACGGCAGATTGGCAACAGGGTGCCACTCTCTCTACAGCCCTGACGTAACCTCCAGTGATTTTCATTTGTGTGGACCAGTGAAAGTGCATGCAGGAGGGCAGAAATTTGAAACTGGTGATGAACTGAAATGCAACATGTCCTGAACTGGCTACACAGTAAGAATAGATCCTGGTATGCTATTGTCATAAGTACCTCGCCGAGATGTTGGGAAAATATGTTAAGGTAAACGGAGAATATCTCAAAAAGGGGCAAGACTTTGGCGATTCTGGCATGTCTTTTTTTGTTAAAAAGAATTAAGTCAGGGTCAACTTTGAATGGCCCTCATAGTTTTCACAGAAATTCATTAGGAATGCTGTTTTAGTTACACCCTTGTTTTAATGATGTCCTGCGAAAGCAACTGTACTTATTTAAACTTCTGTGCCTGGTCCTGGGGATGTAAGTGGTTATTATGTGACAAGAGTCTGGAATTATTACTGAGGTAACTGATAGTTTGCATTATACGTGGTGTGTTAAAAAAAGTATCGAACCTTTGGTCGGCAGAAATACATTTATTGATTTGGAGGTACAAAACCCTAATCCCCTTCAAAGTAGTCTCTTTGGTAATGCACACACTTCTCCCAGCGCTTCCGCCACTGTTGGAAACACTTCTGGAATGCGTCTTTTGGAATGGTGATCAGCCGGGCCGTTGCATTCTGCATGATGTCTTCTCTTGACTCAAATTGGGTTCCTTTCAGCGGCATTTTCAGCTTGGGAAATAGCCAAAAGTCACACGGAGCCATGTCGGGGGAGTAGGGAGCCTGACGAACCACAGGGATGTTGTGTTTGGCGACGAAAGTCTGAATCAGATGCTCAGAATTGGCGGGTGCGTTATCATGATGGAGCTGCCAAGTTTTTACTGCCCACAGATCCAGTCATTTGCGCTGCACAGCATCACGAAGGTGACGAAGGACTCCTGGTAGTATTCCTTTGTGATGGTTTGGCCTTGTGGTGCTTACTCATGATGCACAACCCCATGGGAGTCGAAGGAAACGGCCAACATGACCTTGATATTGCTGCGGACCTGCCGTGCTTTTTTTGGCTTCGGGGATGTTGGATGTTTCCACTGGGATGACCGCATCTTGGTTTCCGGGTCGTACCCATAAACCCACGACTGATCGCCTGTGGTTACTGTTTGCATTGTCCAGCATGTCCTGTGCAATTTCCAGACGGCGTTGCTTCTGCTCCATTGTTAGCAGTTTCGGTACGAATTTCGTGGGGACACTCCTCATGCCCAAATCCTCGGTCAAAATTGAATGTACCTATCCAGTGCTTACCCCTATCTCATTCACAAGTTCTCGGACTGTGATATGACGGTCCTCCATGTCCAGAGTCCACACTTGCTCAATGACATCTCATTTCGGCTTGTTGAGGGTCTGCCTGGACGCGGTTCGCTGTCCACTGATGTGCGGCCATCTTTGAAGCAGTTGTACCACTCCTTTATCCATGAGTTGCTCATGGCATCATCCCTGAAAGCCTGTTGAATCTTGCAAATGGTTTCCACTTGGGTATCGCCAAGCTTTTGGCAAAATTTGGTGCAATATTGCTGCTCATGTTGTTCCGTCATTTTACACCTTACTGAAATCCAGTGAGCGCTCACTACACATCCTCACTCATAGGCCGACTGCCAGCGACTGATGCTTTCTGCGGGCAGGAAAAAATTCACGACTGCGCATGAATGTCTCCTCCACATCTCCACTGAAGGGAGCGTCCCACGCTTCATTGGTTTATGCCGGAGAAAAGAAGGTTTGATACTTTTTGAACACACCATGTATGTAGTGCTTATCTATAGAGCCAGATGTTAAGCTACATTGATCTTTCTGACTTACTGCAAAATTAGTGCTTTGACGGAGCAGTTGATCCACATATGTGACCACTGACACTGTTTGTTGTATTGAGAGAGGATGAAGGATTGTCAGGGGTGCTGGGATGTGGAGAGTGTCCCTGAATTTTACTGGTGGCCCACTATTTACCAGGCTTGGTGTAACTGAAGTGGGTGTAATATACACCCACTTTTTGGGGACATCTCGGCTTAGCTGCCCAGAATCCACTCCCTAAACCAGGCATGTCAAACTCAACTTGTACAGAGGGCCACCTCAGCCCTATAAATAGTAGTCCAGGGCCGCACTTCAAAATAAAAATATACATTATATTTTGATACAAGGAAATTTAATTCTATTTGTTATTTAGGAATAATTTCAATATAATTACCTAAAATGGAACACATATTTTGCCCACAAAACAAACATGTAATTTTACCTTCTATTTCACAACAGAAATAAGCGATTTCCCATTTTTTCTTGAAAAACATGGCGCTCACTTTCAATAGTTCTTTTTTTGCTACTTGAATTTTTTGAAAGCGACATTCCCCCTTAAAAGTTCCCGTACATATACAAGAAAACTCGTAGTTGATAATTTAACGTTTAATTGTAACCTTTATACATTCATCACAATGTAACATCAGCACCCGTCACTGTGTGAAAATGAACTGAATGACAATGTACAAGAGACTACCGGGCTAGTAGGAAGGTTATCTTGTCTCAATGGTCATACAAGTGAAAGTTTGCTAGCAGCCCATTAGACAATGACTGGGGGTTGCAAGCTAGTTTTGAAGGTAGAAATCCCTTGCACTTGTCTGTCAGTTGCCACCCTCCTTGCATTCTTACTATGCCTCCAAAAAGGATTCTTGGAAATACTTGGGGTGGTGAGGCTGTGCGGATTTTAGTGCATTAACCTTCTGAAATACAATAGTTTGTTCTTCACAAACTTTACAAACCATTAGTTGGACAGACGCTTCTGCAATTCTCAGAATCACTTTTCCTGCAGCCTACTACTTTATGTCTGCGTGAGACTTCTTGACTTCTGGGCTGTTGGAAAATTGTCTTTACAAAAAATATTTCTACTAAAATTTTAATATTTATTTTAATATCAATTAGCTCTAAAAATTGAGGGGCCGCACTTTGTGGCTATGGGGGCCGCATGTTTGACACGGTTGCCCTAAACTCTTACTTTTGCTGTTACCACCTGATCAAACTGCTTCACTGGAAAACATCCCTAAAATAACACCCTTTTCAGGAAAATAATAGAATGGTTGACTGGTTTTATTTCCACTCTAATGTTGTTGTGAGAGAATGGGGAGAGAGGTAATTTTATAGAACATTACCACTCCAGAATCTCATTCTGCCCGAGCTCTTTGGTAGGGCTTATATAAATACACACCGACACAACACCAGCTGCTATTGAAATGTACCGCATAAGCCTGAACATAGATGACACTGAATATGAAGCAGCCCACTGTTTTTCCAATGAGAAAAATCAGAAAAAGAAATTTACTTTTGTAATCAGAGAGGAATATGTCAATTAGTTCTGAGGGCTGTAATCAAAAGGAAGTAAATACTGTAGGAAATAGCAAATTCAGAATTTAATATCTCCAATATAATTATAGATATTTTCACAAATATTATTAGAATTAGCAATTAGAACTCCTTATCATCTTCCTACTTATTTGTAAGGATCTGAAAATAAGGCCACACTTCTTTTCTAAGAAGCGGTATTTGAATAATTGTATATTTGTGCTCATGCAGTACAATGCAGTGTTATGATTCTCCATTGTGTGTTGGTTGAGGTATGCCCTTAGTGGCTATTTGTTGTGCTGGTACCCTCTTGAACTGCCCTTCTATTAGTGATAGAGACAAAGTGGCTCAGTCAGTTCTGCTTGCCACAAAATACAAGAATTCAGAGGTAGACTGGCTGAGACATCAGTGGTCAACACATCTTTGGAACAAGACAACAGTTCTGTCTTAAGATTTCTGAACGGTTCCACAATTTTTAAAAGAATGGGTCATGACAGAATGTTTCTGAGTGGAATAGTAAATTTGCTCCTGGGTATGTAGCCTCCAAAGCCTTCTGCATTCTGGAGTGCATGGGTTACAACAGTTAAATTTTCTAACTTTCTTTAAAGTTTATAATGAAAATGAAACATCTGATATCACAATTTCAGTATCCTTGTGGGTATGTACTTGTTTTTGTTCCTTGTTAAAATGCTTTTGAATCAACAGTTTATATTGAACATGGCATGCATATTACAGCACTGGGGCTCACTCCATGTGTATACTTATAATTTCCAGCCCTCACAGTGTAGTTAACCCTTAAGTTATCTTTGTTTCATGAAGGGATTGAGGAAAACCATGAATCACTTCAGTCAGGGTAGCTAGTGTCCAGTCAAGATTCAGATTGTTTACCTCTTGAATACAGGTCAGAAACATTACTACTTGAGCCTATTTCATCACTCAGTCTCTTAGGGACGCTCCATTATCTGTACTGTCTTGTTATTTGGATTCTGAAAGACCTTGCAACTGTTGCATGGCAAATCTCTTAACAGTTTTCTCTGCAAATCTCGAAATTCTTAGTTGCCTATTCTGTTGAAATGCTTCACTGTTATTGCATGTATATATTTGTTGTTTTTCAGGCAAACCTTTATGGCAGTCATCCATTTTATCTGATGATGGAGAAAAGTGGGAAAAGCCATGGTGTGTTTCTTCTCAATAGCAATGCTATGGGTAAGTGAGATATTTTGTTGTAACTCTGCTACAGGATTTATTTGATGGAAGTATCATGATAGGGTAACACAAGAACAAGAAAGAGATTGAACGTCTTCAGGGTCAGGTCTTGTTAAATGTTTTGATTACCATAATGTTACTACATCTTTGCAATCATGGTTTATGAATTTTTTAATTAGGAGCATGTACTTCATACATAGTTTCTTTTTGTACATGAGAAAATTAAGGGTCTCAGTCATATTACATTTCATAAAATCTTATAACTTTATGGTATAGTTATTACACATATTGTATCATTAGATTCTAAAGGGTTATGACTGGTGTAAGGACTCAACAGAGTAGGTGTCTCCCCCATCACTTAAGGATGGAAACAGATCCAGTTCCTTAAACATTGTGTTCTCTAGTATTTTTAGAATACCAGACAAGGGACGAAGTCCAAGAACCCAGTAATACTGAATATTGTAAGGTATCTTGCCATGATCCTAAATTCTTTTTGAGGCATCTATTTTAAATAAATAATCCAGTTTTACTGGCTATGAATTGTTTGTTAGTACTGTCACTTTTATAGTTTGGTCGTAATGAACCTCACAGTTTTAAGAGGTATGATGTTGCAGAGGTGATCCTCCAGCCAGCACCAGCCATAACGTTTCGAACACTGGGAGGGCTCCTAGACTTCTTCATTTTCTTGGGTCCTAGTCCACAGAATGTTATCCAGCAATATACGAAGTAATTGGAAGGCCATATATGCCTCCTTACTGGGGCTTGGGATTCCATCTTTGCAGGTATGCCTTCAGGATTGCATCCTTAGCTTGTTAGGATATATCCTGCATAAATGCGTTCAGAAGGATCAGAGTAGTTGGAGGTGAGGTCTGTACATTGGTGACGCTGAAGATGGCTGTTGTCTGGAATGAGAAGCTGTGTAGTTTGGTAGATCTATACCAGTGTTTCAGAGGAACATGCTTTGGCCATCTCCTTCTGCCCTGAAGATGGAGGCAGTACATTCCTTCAAAAAAATTGTAACAATCTACCAGACTACACAGCATCATATCCCAGAAGGCACTAAGTAATCGGTGAAACAGTTAGACTTTAATGATGTGGATTCTGTAGTGATAAGGGTCACTTGGTTTTGAGCGTCTTGAAATGTCTGACAGTCTTTGAATCCATAAATGCATGAGAGATGCACTTACATTGCAATTGAGAACTGGGGGAAAAATGTTCAGGTGGGACAGACAAGCAGTACAGATGCTTACAGGTTGAGAGAATCTGGCGAATCAGGTGCCTTTGCACATTACAGTTTCACATCAGTATTGATCCAATAAATTATACAACAGCTATCTTGAAGTGACCTTGTCTTATATGGTTTCATTTTCAAGAGTATTATGCTAGTTTGTCCTGATGTTTTTGAAAACTGTTTTCTTCCGTGAGGTGATTGAGGGATTTTCAAGGAGAATATTCAAGTGAAGTACTGATCTCATCAAATTTCTCTTCGTTGAGCGGTCATCTGCTGTCAGAAAACATAAAAATTAAACTGTACAAAACTTTAATTTTGCCTGTATTTTTGTATGGGTGTGAAGCTTGGTCTCTGACAATATATGACACAAACTCTGTCCTAAGTGCAACAATTTATTGTAGTTCTTTCGTCTTTCTTTCTTCTATACTACATGTTTCAGCCGTAAATGGCCATCATCAAGTGTTTACTCTCACGTAGCTGCTACACTGCACGTAGTTTAAAATTTAAAAACCCTAATCTTCCCAATTGTTCATTTCTCCGTTGCTAACAGGTTTCGATATATCAGAATCCTCCCCGCTGATATCTGTCAGATATGTACAAAATCTTTGTTAATCTACACACATCAATTGATTTTTAAAAACTGGCACTTTTAAAATCTTCAGTTCCAGTTTAAAAATTTCTTTAAAATTTTTTTCCAAATTTTAAAATTCTCAGGGGTACGTGCCCTATGTCTGTAGTGCTGTAGCGGCTACTTCTTGTTTTCAGCACTGTTCAGGTATTATTCTGTATTAGCTTTAATACGTGACACATATCCCACAACTTGGCAATATTGTGTACCACGTTTGAAATCAGTTCTATGTTTATACTAATTTTATTTTCTTTACCATTATTTATTGGGGGCACACAGTAGCATAGTTGGTTGAGGCACTGTGCTACAAGCTGGAAGGTCATGGGTTCAATTCCCAATGAAGTCCAATTTTTCAGTTGACCTAACACTTCAAGCCGCACTATGGCCCTGTGGTTGACTCAGCCGCTAACAGAAATGAGTACCAGGAATATTCCTGGGTGGTAAAGTGTGGCCGAAGCGTAGGGCTGACAACCTTACTGCCATCTGTGAGCTGATTGTCTAGAGCCTTGATGTCTTACTGGCCCTATGGGCCTCCATGGCCTGTTACAGGGATAGCTTTAGCTTTAACTTTTACCATTATTTATCAGTTCAGAGACTTCACAGTTGTTTGAACTGTATTTTTAATGTAGGATTTGAGGTTCTCATGAAGAATCTTACCTTCTGGGATATAATGTTGTGTAGTCTGTGGAAAGTCGTCCAGTGTATGGTCGAAGAATAAACCAAGCAAGAAACCACTGTGAGGCAGGTATGAAGCATAGCTTGAAGATGGGGGCGGCATGTTCCTCGGAAACACTGGTTGACATTCAGTGGACTGCATGGGATTATATCCCAGGAGATAGAAGTCTGTATTTTTAATGTTGATTATTTAGGGGTAGGGTTTAAAAATGACATGTTAACACACGTGTTCATGTACAAATTTCTGTTTTACCATTTAATGTTGTCCTCATTTAATGTTGGGAATATGTTCTTATAAACTATGATGTTATGTGAAACTACATTAAGCAGATTCATTTTACTATAAGAAATATAATAAATAGGTTAAGTTCCTCAGCCTTTCTTCACCACATAACATGCATTAAAGTGTAGACAGTATGAATGCAGATGTAGCTACTTGTTTATTCTTGCAGTTGTAAACTACAGTAGTATTTATTTAACATTTAGTATGATGTATTATATTAACTGATGACCAAAGGTGAAACTAGCAAGTGCTATGTGACAGCCCAATTTCATCAACATTAAACACTTATTTAGGTGCATAACCCACCTCTTCAACCATTATCTTGAATTCTGGGATGAACGACAATATAATAATGAGTGAACGCAACTTTATACGGAGCCTTGTGGAAATGGTACCGTAGTATGAAACAACATTAACTGAGGCAATGCTGAGTGAGGAATTTGTGTGTTTATGTGTTTTGAGGTTCTCACAGCAATAACTGTGAGGAGCGCTATCTTCTAGGATGTGATATTGTACAGTTTGATGGAAATTTGCTGATATTTGGGAGGAATATATTGGCTGCTTGCTTGTCCTGCTCCTTGACTCTGAAGATGATGTCCATATGTTCTTGCGAAACATCAGTGAACTGCTGCTAGACTACATGGCGTCACATCTGAGAAGACAGTAGTACTCTTTGTATTTATGATATTTTCTTACAGCTGTATGTCTCTTATCTTTTTCAGATATGGTTACAACAGTTTGAATAACACAAAACAGGTTTGGAGCAGGACTCGAGAAGCAGGGATTCCACTGGTAAGTACTTCTGATTTATCACCTTATACAATGGTGAGATGAATAATCTGAAAATTACCATGGCAATGATGTGACCATGTTAGATGAGTCCGTTGTCACTGTGGCATGGTACATCCTCAGAATCGTTTGAGGAATGCTGTGGCACAAAAAGGGCTCTTTTTAGCTGATGATGACGGTGATGATGCTTTTACTGATGATTTGTATCAAATGTACTTGTAATACTTCCCCTTCCTAACATAAATTTAATAAACTTATTTGTTAGATTAAATCAAGAGTATAATCAAATATGTCCAATTTTGTGTTAATAANGGAAAACGTCACTCAGTCAATCAGATCACCATATACATACCACTACAGAGATGCCACAAAACACAATCACATAAGAGATTTATGTGATTCAACTTCTTGTGACACAACCCTATCACACCAGGCAAGATAAAAAAATGATTGCAGAACCTTGGTTCCCAGTATTAATGTTGAAAACGTCAGTTGATTTCTTCTAATTTATAAACATCTTCGGGCACGTTATCCACATTTAAAAATGTTGGATAGTGTTGTAGTGTTTTTACAGAGGAGAGTCTGTATCAAATGCTCTAACCATCGTTTACTAGGCAATGTTTCGGCAGACACCACCAGAACGTCGGAATAGCAGTGAGCAAGCAGAAGTCTGTTTGCTAGACATCAGCTCGCTAAAAGTCATTCTCATGTCAATAAAGATTCAGCAAAGGTTTCCGTGGATACGAGGAATGTAGGGATCACCAGGCGCTTCTGCTACAACGGATACAGGAGACCAGTAGCTTCTATTAGGACCTCCCGAACTTATAAAAGAGAGTTCATTTGTGAATATAATTCATTCATGTGTAATAGGATTCAGAAGGCAGTTCACTAGTTGAATATTCAGCTGTGAAGTGTTTACCAAGTAAGATTAGCTACTGAGCAATGACTAGCAAGCAGACATTGTAATTACACATGTATTCAACGCAAAAGTTTTTATGTATTTCTCTATATCCGTGCTGTCTTTCGGCATTTAACTTTGTTCATTTGGGCACATTATTAGAATTATCTTCTAACTGCCTCATTTTCCTGTACACTCTCATATATGCAGCTCGACTCTTACCAGCAGACATCTTAAGTGCATGATGTCATACGCTGCTAGCTTGCCTGTAGCATTGCGTCATAAACTAAAGAGTGGAATTGAATTAGCTGTATACCTCACATTTATTACCTTATTTCACTCGTATTTATAAGGTTCCAGCACTAACCACATAGGAAACATTGTTTCATGGTTTTTGCTTTCTCTGTTCTGTGTTGATTCATTGATGTAATGTGTTAAATTGCCGTTGTCTAGAAATATACCAGTAATTACAAATTGTTACAGATCTCCTTACTTACGTTACAAATTCGGTTACTAACAGTTTCATTCCATTTGTACCCTCGTAAATTAATATTTTCAACATTTAAAAAGCCTTTACTTCTGTACATTATTGGATCCTGCCTCATATTTTAAGTGTTAATGGTAGTTTATATTCAGATCTGTTTTTTACTAATGAAGAAACAAATTTAAATTATTCACGTAAAATTACACGAAGTTTTCTTTTATTGGATGCCCCTGAAGATGATCATTTGAGGCAGAAACATCATTTGTTGAGTAGGAACTGGATACGTTGTATTTATTCTAATGTAAATAGTTAATCAGCATTGGTATGAAATTAAGCTTATCTGTCATGATTTATGAATTTGGAATCTAATGTGTTCACTGCTAGACATTAAAAGACCTTTGGATGCTCTGGGCCGAGCAGTCATGGATGAACAGGGTTGAACAAAAGCATTCTGTTTGCAAGAGGGAGACGTTACTATTCAGTGTATCTTGAAACTTGATGCATATTTCATTTCTGAACTTTTGTAGTGTGATCTATGCAGGCATTGTTTATGAGATCTGGTTGCCATCTGACTGAGAAAAGAGAATGTTACGAAATCTAACCTAGGTATAGCAGTGAGAGGCTTCGTGTATTTAAATGACATCTGCTGTTTGTGGCAGTTTGACATGCAGTTAGCAAGGGTTATGTTCCATTTGGAATGTTATTTTTACCTAACACATGCAATTTTGTACACAGGATGTGCAATGGAATGACCTGGATTACATGAACGAATCCAATGACTTTACGTATGACAAAGAGAAGTTCAAGAATTTACCTGAATTTGTGGAAGAATTGCATAAGGTGAGCCAAATTGTGTGTCATAATATTGAAGGCATGTGTGGGTTGGGGTTAATTCGAGGATTAAGTTCGTAGGTGGGATACCTAGCAACGAGGAATCTACCTGTCAAGCTGCACAATTGTCATGATATAGAAGATTACCATATGTACCTAGCAGCAAGCTTTGTTTATTAATGCATAATAACCATTGTTTACACATTAATAGAATTACAGCATGTTTGTAAATTGTGTCTCAACCAACTGTATTTTCTGAAAGTTGAACACTGTCAATTGTGGGCTATTTTGTATTTTTGCAGAAGATTTGAGATATGTTTTGAAAAATTGCCGAGTAATGTGTGTCACGGGAAGCAAACAGTATCCTTATTTGAGTAGTATAGTTGTCTGGGTTGTAATGAAGTGTAGTTTGGAGAGAGCCGGACATTCCTGAGGAAAATATTGCCTTCATTGTCTAGTCTGACTTGTTTTACCAATTAGATAGATTTCATTGTTTAATATTCTACCAAGCGACAAACAGTTTCATTTCCAAGGTACTGCATTCAATGTCAGTCATATATGAGAAAGTTTGTACTGTGTCTTCATGCTGGTTTTTTCAATATTAATACCATTATGTCTTGAGTTAAAATATGTTCATATGCCTGCATAATATCAGGATATTTAAGACCCTCTAGTCAGGATAGGAGTTTGGGTGAACCCCAGAGCCAGTCTGGATGATGCGTGTGAGATTCAAGGTTATGATCGTAACAATGAAGAGTTCTGGCTTCTGGGATGTGACGCTTTATGGTGTAGTAGAAATTTACGTAGTTTTGGAGGGATGCACTGTCTCCATCTTCAGGGTCAAAGTGTAAGCCAAGGAAGAAGAGAAAACTCTGCAGTAAATATGTAGGACCCAAAATTCTGTTGTTCAGTAAGGCTTTGCCCTTAATTTTTTATGGTGGTGGTTGTTATTTTCAGATTATACAAAATAAATAATACCAAAATAAAAAGTAGATATCAGAATTGAAAGCATTCCTCTTTCCTGCACTGTACAGTTCGGCAATGTATATGTTTGCAGTTAGGGATGCATTACATTCCCCTGATAGACCCAGGAGTTAGTGGAAGTGAAAAGCCAGGCACGTACCCACCATATGATGAAGGGCTTCAAATGGACATATTTGTAAAGAATTCCACTGGACTGCCCTTTGTTGGAAAGGTAAGTTTATTTAGTAAAGTTTCTTTTTTGTGTATCAGTAGTGAGCAAAATAGAAATGATTTGTACTGACATCCAACCCTGTGAGAGAATGTACCATATTCTGTGGTGTCTAAGATGAATAATGATATAGAAAGAAAAAATTAGGAAATTTTTTTTTTTTAATATTTGGTTTTAAATTTTTGCTTAGTAAGCAAACTGTATTATTTATTAAATAGTCCCAGAGCCATTGCATTTTCTTATATCCATAAAACTGATGTTTTAAATCTCGTGATATTTACCTGTTTTTGATCAGTAGTTCCCATGCTCAGGAAGCACTGCTATTTTTAGTGAAATTTTAAAAGACAGAAATTGCAATTATGAAAGGCAAGTCCGTCCAGTGTGACTATTTCAGTTTTCTCACTTGATGATTTACTACCCTTACATGTTTCGATCCATTTGGATCATCTTCAGAGGCACCAAACACTTTTTAGAAATTGCCTCTTATATACTGGGCAGTGTGATAAATTATGAGAGGTAAAGTTAAACAAGTAAACTTTTTCCTGTGCATAATTAATTAAGCACAACAGGATGAATATTGTGGGGCAGTGGGCGTATGGCTTCACCATCCTTGACCTTGGCACCAGATGGAGGTGAGTGGTCAGCTTCATGCCCTGGCTGCTTAATCCTCTGGAGAAAGTCCCCCTTTTCCCATTGGGTGGGATGCTATGGAGAAGAGAAAAATCTCATACCTGTTCCAAGAAATGAACCCTGGCTGTTCACCCAATAGTCTGTCACTATACAGACTGAGCTATCCTAGCTGTTATGGTAAATTATAAGTACTGAATAATGAGGTGTTAAGGAATAATATTTAGATCTGAGAAAGGTGCAGGGACTCTAGAGTTTGTGCTCCCCTCCCTTATGTCTTATGTTGCATGAATTGTTATGTATTCACTCTCTCCATTATATATTTTCTGCTCAAATTGTAGTGTGGCACATCTATGAAGTATTTCAGTTTTGTATAGAGAAAAGTAGCAACTGTAGACATATGAGACCTGTTACACCAGTTAGCAAGGTTTTGGTGACATAACAGGGAACCAACTTTTTAAATTAATTCTAGTATGCTGATACCAGATACGAACACATTTTCCGTCACTTCACAGTTTTGTGCACTGGATATCGAGCCAGAGCAGCATATTCTTTATCTCCTTTCTCTTTTCTCAGATTTGTGCTTTCCTTCTGAGTGTTCTTACCATATTTACGCATGTATAGGCCGCAGCACAATTTTCAGACAGAAATTATAGAAAAAATAATTTTCTTGGAATATTATTTCAGGAGTATTACACCCTGTATTACTAATTATGAATATAATTTTTTTAAAATGAAGTGTGATTTCGAATATTTCGAATATAAGCCGCACCCCAGTTTTCCTCTTGAATTTTTGCAAAAAATGTGCGGCCTATACATGCATAAATACTGTATATTTTTTTTACTGTAGTGGGAGAATCTGATGTTTTATAAGTTAATAATAGTTTGTTTTAAATTAAATATTATTTCAAGTTGCATAGTAATCTGAAGTACATTTATATGTGTTGCATACAGAAATGTAGGGGGTAACAAAACTATGCACTTTCCTTTTCATGATCATGCCTGACTTACTCAAAAACACATTATGTGTATGTTAAAAGCTGTGATAGCTCAGTTGGTATAGTGATGAGTTACAGGCTAGACAACCACTGGGGTTCGATTCCCGGTAGCTGTAAGGTTTTTTTTTCTGTTCCATAATGTCCAGACCATGTCTGGGGCCCAGTCAGCCTCCTATACAATGGGTACTGGGGCCCCTTTACCTGGAGGGCATGAAACTGACCAGTTGCCTCCATCTAATGGCAAAGTCAAGAATGGTGGAGGTATACCTTCGTTCCCCCATATATCTTCATGGCTTAATGCTTAATTAATTAAGCACAGGGACAACTTTACCTTTTATATGTACATGTTATTGAAAAGGGTGAAAATTTTGTGCTATATTATCGGTTACTAGGCTTTGTGGAACCCATATGGCATTAACCATAGCTCTAATTATGTGTAATCACAAATCATTTCACTAGTTATATCCTGGCAGTTGATTTGTAACACAGTAATTATACAAGTCTTCAAATCACATGCTGATTTTCAAGTCTCAGCTGAACTCATTGCCATCTCTTCTTGATCATCCTTGACTCCTGTCCCAGGAGACTCCCTCAATTCTATTTTAGCTGCCTGAGATCCTCGTTATGTAGCCTTGAGGCAGCCCCAACAGAAAACACTGTTTCCTAACAATTTCTCTGTTGTTATAGAGGTGTTTTCACCCCACTGTTGCGTTGAAACAGTGGTTCTTCCTACAGGAACCTGTTACTGAGCCGTTGGCTAGCAAAGAATATCTACTCTGGCTCCCCTATCCTGGCTTGCAGGAATCATGTCACATTATATTACCTCTGCAGTTCAAATGTCTTTGTCAAATAAGCGAAGGGTCTACATATATCATGTAGTCATGTCACTTTTTTTTTTTTTTTGCTTGATGGCTGTGTGACACTCAAGGAGGGAGACCATTATGTGTATGTGAAAACTAGAATTAAGTTGAGAGTTATCCCGTCAGCATCATCTTTAATTATATATCTCTCTGTCCTGTAGGTATGGAATCGTGTCTCTACAGTGTGGCCAGACTTCACACATCCTCACACTGTTGACTACTGGCTACGGCAGCTGAAGAGACTCCATCATGAATTTCCATTCGATGGAGCATGGATTGTAAGCACATATTATTCACGAAGAGATGAAGATTGACTTGAAGTTAAATGGATGGTCATTGTTTACGTTTCATTTTGCTTTGATTCTGAAATTAATTTGGGTCATAAGTTGACATGTCAGTTATTATATTTGCCCCAAAATAGGCTGTATCTGCAAAGTGATATGGTCTTGAAATGGGAGAAGATATATATATATATATATATTTGTTCATTTACATAACTGCTTGTATGCAAAGCAATCAGAACATTTCAGAGTAAGCAAGTTTCAAGTTGCTCTGTATACAATATTATATTTAAGCATCCTGTTACACTCACACAATATATGAGACAAACTCCATCTTAAGTGCAACAATTTAATTGTAGTTCTTCCTTCTTTCCTTCCTCCACACTACATGTTTTGGCCCTAAATGGCCATCATCAGGTGTATATTCTTACGTAGCTGCTACACTTCCCGTATTAAAGATAGACAGCAGCACACGCACAGATAGCCTACACAGAACAATACCTGAACAGCGATAAAACAAGAAGTGGCCGCTGCAGCACTATAGACATAGGGCGAGTACCCTGAGAAATTTTAATTTTTACAATTTGGAAAAGAGCGGAAAATTTAGACATTTTAATTTGAAATTGAAGTTTTAAAAAGTGCCAATTTTGGAAATCAAATTGACGTGTGTAGGTTAACAAAGATTTTATACATACATTCAATTGAAAAGACTGGTGTTTTAAATTTTAAACTATGGGCAGTGTAGCAGCTATGTAAGAATATACACCTAATGATGGCCATTTAGGGCCAAAACATGTAGTGTGGAGGAAGGAAAGAAGGAAGAACTACAATTAAATTGTTGCACTTAAGACGGAGTTTGTCTCATATATTGCTCTGTATAGCTACACATGTTACAGTATGTTTGGTTTAATATTTTGAGGTTGTTGAAGACTGTAATAAGATAAAAATATTAGGTATTATGCATTTTCCTCAAAACTCTACTTGTTGGTGACATTGATTCAAATTGTGTTAGCATTGCTGTGTCATTTGTTCAAAGCTGAAGTGTCATCTCTTGATCATAACAACAAACTGCATACCTTTGCCTGATTTGGACAGTCTAGTGATATTTTTTAAGAACCGTTTGTAAGATGTGCTCTGATTTTGAAAGCATCAATTTTGGGAAATGTGTGCCTTATATCTGGCCACATATGGTATTTATAAGTGCTGGTACAGACAAATAGGAGGCACGCGGTAGTGTAGTTGCTTGAGGGGCTATGCTACAAGCCGGAAGGTCGTCTGTTCAAGTCCTGATGAGGTCATGGGATTTTTTTTCAGTTGACCTAATCCTTCTAGCCGCACTATGGCCCTAGGGTTGACTCAACCTCTAACAGAAATGACTACCAGGAATTAATTAAATAATTTTTCTGGGGAGTAAAGCGTGGCTGGTGCGTAAGGCTGACAACCTTACCGTCATCTTTGAGTTGATTGTCTAGATAATGTGGGACCCTCAGTGTCTCACAACCCTATGGACCTTCATGGGCTGGTACAGGGATAACTTTACTTTTTCTTTTTACAGACAAATAATCAAGTTTACATCATGAGTGCTGAGCACAGTGGCCATGTGGTCTAAAGCATGAAATGTCTTTACTTGCTTGAATGCTGGGATCATAGGTTTGAATCACAAATTACAAAACAAAATTAAAATTAAAAACTTGTTTTAAAATATTAATTTTAATTGAATAAAACCAATTAGTTCCAGTCTTCTTATGGGATCTATTAGCACAATCTTCAGCAGTGTGGGTATGTTTCTTTTTCGTGTAATCCGTGGATGTTGGTGTGAATGTTGATTTATCTTATATGTCCCTTTGGCTCTAGACCCATTACCCAGCTTCTGTAGTTACACTGTTGTGTATCTAATGTGTGTGTTCAGCTAGCCAAATGCGATTGTGACATGCAATACAGTATAACAGTTTAACATAGCAACAGACACCGTATGATGGCCATGTATGGCTGAAACATGTCATGAATAGAGAATTAAAGTGACTGTAACCTTTTGTTGCTTTAGTGATGGAAATATACGAGGGTAAGTCAATAAGTAAGTTACAAATGGATATAGAACTTGAACAAATAAGAGTACTGATTCAAAAAATGCTTTTATTTCTCAACATAATCTCCCTGTACATTGAGGCCCTTGTCCCATCGTTTCACAAGCCCCTGAAATGTAGCAGGACAAATTTCTTTGCGCTGCTGTCAGAACCAGGCAGTGACTTCCCTTTCTACAGCTTTATGTGTCGGGAAAATGTACAGCTGAAAGATGATGTTACGTGAATGACGACTCCTACTGTAACATCCTCAGGAAACTTCGTGAGGCCATTCAGTGGAAGCGACCAGGACTCCTCACTAAAGGCGTGTTGCTCTTGAATGACAACACACGTCCCCATACTGCCAACAAGACAAAGGAGACGCTGCAAAACTTCAAGTGGGAAGTCCTTAAACATCCTTTGTATAGCCGCGACCTTGCTCCAAGCGACTTCCATTTGTTCGGCCCTCTTAAACATCATTTTTCGGATGAATATTTTCCCAACGATGAAGCTGTAGAAAGGGAAGTCACCGCCTGGTTCCAACAGCAGCCCAAAGAATTTTATGCTTCTGGTTTTCAAGGGCTTGTGAAATGATGGGACAAGTGCCTTAGTGTACAGGGAGATTATGTTGAGAAATAAAAGCATTTTTCAAATCAGTACTCTTATTTGTTTAAGTTCTATATCCATTTGTAACTTACTTATTGACTTACCTACATATATTGCATGAAATAATTGAAAAGGTTTATTATTTCTGGTATATTTAGGATATGAATGAACCATCCAACTTTTGGTCAGGCAGTTCCACAGGCTGTCCAGATAACAATCTAGAGCATCCGCCATATGTCCCAGCAGGAGTGGATGGTGGTAAGCTGTTCTATAGGACACTGTGCATGTCAAGTACCCAGTATGCGGGACACCATTATGATGTGCATAACCTCTACGGCTTCACTGAAGCAATTGTTACAAGCTTGTGAGTACACTGAACTCATGTTTATTTTAGTACTAATTTATGAAAATACTGCAGTAAAGTCACCAAATCACCAAGCACAAGTTTGTTGAAGTGGAACGCTTCTGACTTATCACAGTGCAGGCCCCCAATTCAAATCCCGAATGGAACCCCGACTGAGTTTGTCTGGGGCTCTCTTCATTTCCTGCAGACATGTGCTGTGATAGTATCTTGGAATAGGTCATGACCATTTCCTTCCACATCCTTTCAACTTCTTTATTCACTAATTGTCCTACAACCTGATTCTGTTTAGCCTGAATCATTGATGACGCTTTTTAAGTGAACCATAAATAAATAATTGAAAAAGGTTACCAAATCCATTACTGAACAGATACGAGAGAGCACAGACTAGCAGAAAATGAGTTCTGGGGAAAAGCGTTCCAAAGTTTGTAGCATTCTGTCTGTCCCCAAAATTGGCCAATATTAGTACTTTTGTTCCATGTGGTTTGCTGCCAATCACACTTGCCTTCTTGAATGCTGGTTTGCCTTGCCTGTTTACTTGGCTTTCACAGATCATGTCCCATTTTATTCTACAGAAATTTTAAGAATATCTGAGACAGGCTTAGTATAACTTATTTTATACTTCCACAAAGAATATGTGGAGCAGCAAGAACTGATTTCACAATTTTATTGATATGTCCTTAATGTTTGGAGTAATTCTTCTCATGTCTGGGTGGTAAATAATCATAACCAATACTGATTTAAGTTTGCAATGGACAGATGGAAGTGTCATTCTGTACCTTTATTCCACATTGGTTGAAAATTTTTGCTTCTTAAATTGCTGATTTGACTGGTTTAAATTTCTACATTATTATGATAGTTTATCTCCGAGGAACACAAATGAAAATAACTTGCTGCTAAGGGGTGGTTGACAACGTACTGAGGGAAATGTGTACATGGAGACGTGGTGGTGTAATGACAGTATCTTCATAATATTTTGATTGCTAAATGGGTCGTAGAAGTAGGATATAAAGGTGGTGACTGAATTCAGCTGGCTCGATATGTGGATCAGCAACAGGCTCTTATGAATATGACAAAGCTTTGGGTTTTATAAGAGGTAGGAAAGTCCTTCATGGATTGAGCTAGTTGTAGTGCTCAGGAAAGATTTTGCTTCTTGAAGCTAGTTATTTGAGTAGTATGTCATCGCTAAATTTTTGTTGATCTGTTGTGAATATGAAGTCTGTTCAAGGTAGTTAAGTTAGATGATATGACATTATTGGATTTGTATTGAAGTATTATATATCTTAGTACTGTTCAATTTAGTTAGTTAGTTAGTTAGCCATTAGTGGATTTTTATTAATGTGTTGTGTATTCTAATTATGTTAAAGATTTTATTTTCATCTTAGAACAGTAAAGCTAAGGTCACTGAGGCGTTTTATTTTTGCTATCCATGTGTGAACGTTAACATGACATGGACAATGAATTCCACAGAAATGAATGCAAGTGCCCAGGTGAAGAGGAAAATCTCAAATATTTTTCCAACTGCTGTATTCTCAAGATGTCCCCACAAGCCAGCACATTCAGTAAAATGTTTTTTGGTTGGGCTGGTGCAGTGACAGCCTGCTCCTTTTGTATGTCTGATTCCTGTTTTCAAATTTTTAGACCTCTCAGGCTGTTTAAATTTAATGTCAAGAATTTTACATACAAGAAAGTATCAATAAATGGGCCAGTGGACATTTGGTAGAACCTGGCAGATTTTCCAGAGTACCTCTTAAATTGTGCATGAAATATATGAGATTTTCCATTCTGTAATCCTTAAAATATGAATGGCTGGAGCCTCCACTTTCCTCATCATTTTGTCTTCAACGTAGAAATGTAGATAAACAGAATTTGTGTATGAAATCCATTAGTGTCTGCATGAAGTGTGTAGGCTACTGTGGCAGGAAATGAATGATGAATGAATGTGAAAGTTCCATCCTTTGGCCATGTGTCACTTCACTTCGTGTATGTCATTTTTAGAATCATACACATGGGAGCATAGAAATGCTTATGTGGCCCGAGTCCTATGCATCATTGTTAGATATTGAATTAAAAATTAATATTTCGTGTATCATGGATTTGCATGTATACACAGTGCCTTGGCAGAAATTAGAGAGAAACGCCCTTTTGTCATCTCTCGTTCAACATTTGCTGGTCATGGTCAATACGCTGGCCATTGGAGTGGTGACATATCATCATCATGGTACGACATGAAGAAGACTATTCCACGTATGTATTTTTAATGCATTTTAGCCTGCTTTACTTCCTTAGAAAGGAATACACTTACGAAATCACAATGCTGTCTATCTAGTTTCAAACCACTTCACCAATTTTTGTGAAACTTTGTATGAATGCTGTGCCATTACAGGCTAGCCCATTATCATACTCAGAGATATTGGGTTTTTGGACCTTATCCATCGTCCTAGTTTTTAAGATAACTAAGAAAAACACGACGTTTCGGAAACTGGATCTGTTTCCGCCCTCACGTGAGGGAAAACATATATTCTGTTAGGTCCCTTAGAAAGAGCTAACCTCAATCACTGCTAGCTCTTTCTAAGGGACCCAATAGAATAGGTGTTTTCCCTCACCTGAGGACAGAAACAGATCCAGTTTCCAAAACGTCGTGTTTTTCTTAGTTATCTTAAAAACTAGGATGATGGATAAAGTCCGAAAACCCAATATCTCTGTGTGTTATACACCATCGTCAGAATCCTATAGTAACTACCCATCATACTGTCGTATATGTCTATGAAGTCAGTCAGTCAGTTGGTTTGTGTGAATGGTTAAGTAAAGTCACGTTACTAAGAAGGACGGGAAACACCTTTAAATAATATAAATTATATTTGAAGTGATTCATTTAGCTCACGATAAAATGCATTTGGGTGTCCTGTGAACACAATAATGAACCTTTGGGTTACTTGAAAGGCCACAAATTTCTTGACCAGCCCTATGACTATTAGCTTCTCAAGAAAGATTTTTCTTTGTACAGTCTGTTGCATAATCACAAATTTGCCAAGCAGGTTGGTGTGGTGCAAAGCTCAAGACTTGTATTAGGGAGGTCCTTATTTCCTTATTTCTTGGTCAGAACACCAGTTATCCTGATTGAGGTTTTCATGGATTTCCTCAGTTCATCCAGGCAAATGCCAGGTTAGTGCTTTGATGAAACCATAATTTTTCCTTTAAAATTTTTTCCAGTTTGTTATTTGCCAGTCATTTGAGTGTTTGAGACCAAACAGTCTTGAGAGACTGACAGTGTAATGAAAGAGACCACCAAAAAGTATAAATTGTTGAGGAAATTATGCTAATGTGGGAGCATTTTTGTTCTTTATTATATTTTTATTGCCGATCACAGTGGCAGTGCAGTCTAAGGCATTAACCGTGTTCGCCCGCACAAATACTGGGACCATGGGATCGAATCCCACTCGAGGCATGGATGTCTATGTGCTTTTTTTTGTGTTTGTGTTCTGTGTGTAGGTAGTAGCCTTGTGGGGGCCTGATCTACTGTCCAAAGAATCCTACTGGCTGTGTATAGGATTACAAAACTGAGAAAAGCGGCCAAGGTCCAAAGGGCTGTAGAGAGAAAAATATTCTCTATCTGAAGAAGATCTTTATTTGAACAGATTTAATCATTTGGTTATTTATCATTCATTTTTGTTACTGTTTGAATATCTAAGTAAATCAATAATCCAAACTGTATCTGTACTTAATCATTTTGTGTTACCTACCCTTTACTCTACTAAAGTGAAAGAAAATAATTTGTGTATGACTACACTTAGCACAGAAGTCTGGCCAGACTCTCTCACCTCTTGCATTATTATGGATGTCTTCAGTACCACGCAGTTTGCCAAGTATCTGATAGCTTTATTTTTAATATGCTATTCTGCAAACAGTAATGACCTGTAAGGGTACAAATGTACCTGTAGCAATTTATGAACATTCAGCACCTGTGCAAGGTTTTCCAGAACTGTTTTTTTCTGAGTTGTGATGTGGTGTAGTCTCATAGGTGGTTACTACCATTTTTGAGGAACCTGCTGCCATCATCTTCAGGGTAGAATTCAGAGGAGACGAGTTCGTTTGAAATGTTAGTAAACCATCATCAAGACTACATCATAACCGAGAATACTCTAAATCCAACATCGTATGATCAGAGTTGAAGAGATTAATCTCGTTATCTTCTCTGATCTGTCTCACAGAACTTCTGAACTTCAATTTATTTGGGATCCCCCTAATGGGTGCAGATATCTGTGGATTCAATGGGAACACAACACAAGCACTCTGTCAGTGTTGGAGTCAGCTGGGTGCCTTTTACCCATTCTCCCGCAATCATAACACAGATGATGGCATTGTAAGTATCTCTGCTGTGAAAGAATTTGACTGTGGTCATTAATTTAAATGTGTCTTCCATATGTGAGAGTCTGTAGATATATCCTGATGGTGGGAATTTTTATATTTCATGTCAGTCACTCCTTTACTTTGTGTGTGTGGTTTATTTTATGATATCAGTAGCTAGACTGTGTAGCATTAATTGGTAGAACAATAAATGAATAATGAATTGCAAAGGATTTGGAAGGAGGCAGTCAAATCTACATACTGTCCTGCCATTTGTCTAGAGGGTCTAAGTAAAATTGTGAGCGATATCAATCCTGCCTGAAATTCAAACCAAGAATCTCATGAATGTGAGGCTAGATCATTATAGATATGCCAGTCTGCTTGGTTTGTCATTCATGACAAGTAGTTATCCAGAATGATTGTGACATATGTAACCATAATCAGTCCTGACACAAATTGTTATTTCACCATAATTAACAAATATGTTCTGTAAAACAAAATTACTGTTATTATCGAAAGGTTTGTGACACTTTTCATTCCCTTATAAGAATATCGTGTTGCATGTGTCCACTGTCTGTAGTATGTTTCAAAGTTTAATGTATACTTTGCTTATAACTTCTTTTTTTTCTTTGGTGATTAGGATGAGCCCTTTGTAATGTGCCCACCTGAGTAGGACCCTTTTTTTCCTTACATTTGATGGAAACTCATTCAGTATCTGAATTGTCATGTAAGTGTACTGAAGTCACAGGTTGTGTATTATGTAAGATTTGAAGCTTTCACAGCCAATCAACGAGTTAGAACCTCCGGCAATCAGCAGTATGAATGTTGACTTAAAATCCAGGGTTTTACCATTTTTTTATTGCTAGTGGGGTGGGACTAAGTCCCTTGTACTGCGGCCACTTCTGGCCTATTGTACCGGCCCCAGATGATAGGTGAGGGTGATTGTGGAGGAATTGGTGGAATGAAGATTGGAAGGGAAACCGAAGAACTCAGAGAAAACCTGCCTCAGCGCCACTTTGTCCACCACAAATCCCACTTGACCAGACCCGGNCACCCGCATCAACTCTGATGTTGGAGAGTGTGGAGATCTCTGAAATATTGGCTTCTAGCTCAGCGTTAACACGACTGATTGCCTGAGAACATTAGCAAAACTTATTCGTTTTTGTTATAGCTGAATGTGTTTCACAGGGGATTTATAGTGAATGTCAAAAGAGAGACGGGGGATCAAAATAATTATGCATTGAATGTTAACAGCCACAAGATCCAGTGGCGCTGGGGCCTGCAGTGGTACAGTCGGCCCGCAAATCTTTGCTGGTACGGTATTTGCTGCTACCATACCTGTACACACTTTTCTGGAAAGCTCATGCAGATGGTGATACTGTTGTGAGACCTTTGTTCTTTGAGTAAGTGCAGAAAGTTACATAGTGTAGAACTTCATAAATTATACCCTGACATACATTACTGGGACAATGAAGTCGAGGAGGATGTACAGCATGACCAGTGTGTGTGACATTTGGGTTAGTAAACATCAAGGTAAGAATCCACATGGGGGTTTATGTGTAGATAGGAAAATAATGTTAAAATGCATCCTCAAAAAAGGAGGTTTGAAGATTCTGACTGAACTGCATTGGCTCAGGGTAGGATCACATGGTTTGTAAATGTTATAATATCCTTTAAGTTAATTAAAAACGGAATTTCTGACCAGCTGAGTGAATGTCATTTTTTTGAAGGAAGTACCAGCATCGTAATATTATTCTTTAATTTTGATTAATTATCTTTAAAATATTTACATTTTTATGCTGGGGTGATTCAGATGTGAGGGGAGTCTGCATTCCTTGAAATGTTGACACTGAATGGAAATGAAAATTAATTTCTAGATATTTATTTTTAAAAATAAAACCCAAAGTCTAACATATAAGGTTCTTAGGCATTTGTAAAAACAAAACTCAAAGCCTAACATTATAAGGTTTTTAGGTATTCGTAAAAACAAAACCCAAAGCCTAACCTTAGAAGGTCTTTAGGTATTTGTTTGTAAGAACAAAACCTAAAGTCTAATCCTAGATGGTTTTTAGATATTTGTTTTTAAAAGCCAAATCAATAACATAACCTTTTAAAAATGAATCAAAGGCCCAAACTATTAAAAACAAAACCAGACCTTAACCTTGTTGACTTTTTGAAGCAAAATTCTAAGGTTAGACTTTGGCTCTTATATTTGGCAGTACTGACATTGTGGACATCATGAGACAGTATCTGTATTCTTGTGGGTGAACATTTGGGTCACTTGCCATTACATAAGAACTTCTAAGGTTGTCAGTGCTAATATGATGGAAAGTGCTATGGTAAGTTTTAGAGTTATTCAGCGCACATGCAGTAACTTCAGCTCTATTTCTTTGGTCATGTGCTATTTTTTTTCAAGTTACAAATGATGCAGTGAATTGTCGTTATAGCTATATAACATTGAAATAAGATACATTTCTAATTTTATGGACTTTTCTTTCCAATGTTCCAGGTTCCCTTCAGATGTTCACACTTACGACATTGATGAGCAATTCCTTTGGGGTTCAGCCCTTATGATTGTTCCTGTTCTGGAAGAGGTAAGGAAATTTTAGGTTCTTTAAAACTGTTATTTTGGTCGTGGGATTTGAGGTACTCATGAAAGTGACGTTGAACCTTACTATCTTACGAGATGTCACGCCCCATATACTGGTAGAAGATCACCAACATTTCAGAAGAAAGTACTGCCCACATCCACAGGGTCAAAGAATAACCCAAACAAACAGCTTGCTTGGTTTATTCTTAAAACCTGAAGATGGAGGCAGTATGTTCCACCAAAACTTTGCCCAGGTGATACGTGTCATATTCCAGAAGAGAGCAGTCTTGTTATCATTATTTTGATCATGTCCTTTGTGTAAGTTTATTGAAAGTTAAAAAAAATATCAGATCTATTTCCATCAACAAACTAAGAGGAAACAAGATGGGGCGGGGGGCTTGGTACAGCTAATTTCAAACCATATCTTGTGAGTCGCTCTTCCAAGGGTTCCAAATAATAGTATTAAATAGGGAGTTGTGCTGATGTAAGAAGCTCTGTCCTAAAGTTTTAGTTTTCTACTTGTCAAGGTACTGCAGTTGACCAACCACACTTATTACAGCAGTTCAGTTTTAAATCTAGTAGTGAGCGTGGTTTGGCTCCTCAGTCATTTGCAGTGCCTCATAGATCATAGCCTGTAAATCACTGCCAGTTGTATGATGTACAGCTTATTCTGTACATCTTCCTTGTTGATGTTCATCTGCTATTTTGTTTGAGTTTGAAAAGTGTCTTGTTTTGATCAGTATGTTCATTTATGGTCAATCCTACCTTATTAAATCTATATATGCAGACCTGTTCGCAAGTCTCTCTCCCTTTAGGCATAATCATCAAAATGTCCATGATCTGCCCATTCTTCTGAATTCACACTCCATGTTCCAGATGTGTTTAAGAGTATGTTGAACTATCCGTATGTATCTAATGTTTTCAATATGTTCTTCATATTTTACCTTGAAGTTTCTTCTGTGCTATATATTGTGGCATATTTGCTCAAAGCCAGAACTGTGGAGGCAGAGAAACAGCTTTTCTAGGCAATGGCCGCAAAACAGTCAAGGGAACGGTGTCAATTGATAGGTAGTAGACTCTTTATAAGCAGTAATAGATGGCCGCTGCTAGGGAACGGCTCGGTAAACATGTTCCCATGGAAATGGTTAGCATATGAGAATGAATGGTGTTTTCTGCATGGGCCATTCTGAGGAGTTATGAGGAAGACAGTTGGGGCAACCAAGTCAGTTCTGTATGGGGGTCTGTGAAGGAAAGCAGTTGGGAGCTGCTGTTCAGAGAGGACTTGAGCCCAGAAGCCCCCTCCCTCCTATCATTGCTGGCAGTGGCTTTGTTGCTAGGCAATGGCTGGGTAAACACAGTCCTGTGACAATGAATACATATGCAACAATAGAAGAATTGTATGCATCATTTTCTCTGTGGTCCTTGTTGTATCAAGGGAAAATAGGTGGTGAGTTCTTCCCAAAACTTCTTGTTTATTCTTGATTTATTTGGTGATATTTTCAATAGTTCACACTGTATCACATCGAATAACAGTGTGAGTAGTGAACAATGAATTGAAGAGGATATGGAAAGTTGTTGTCTAATTNGCTGGCAGTGGCTTTGTTGCTAGGCAATGGCTGGGTAAACACAGTCCTGTGACAATGAATACATATGCAACAATAGAAGAATTGTATGCATCATTTTCTCTGTGGTCCTTGTTGTATCAAGGGAAAATAGGTGGTGAGTTCTTCCCAAAACTTCTTGTTTATTCTTGATTTATTTGGTGATATTTTCAATAGTTCACACTGTATCACATCGAATAACAGTGTGAGTAGTGAACAATGAATTGAAGAGGATATGGAAAGTTGTTGTCTAATTTGAGATAGTATCCTAACATTTGCCGAGAGGGGCTGAAGAATACTGTGAAAGATATCAATCAGAATAGCTATTCCCCAGGCTGAGATNGTTCTTCCCAAAACTTCTTGTTTATTCTTGATTTATTTGGTGATATTTTCAATAGTTCACACTGTATCACATCAAATAACAGTGTGAGTAGTGAACAATGAATTGAAGAGGATATGGAAAGTTGTTGTCTAATTTGAGATAGTATCCTAACATTTGCCGAGAGGGGCTGAAGAATACTGTGAAAGATATCAATCAGAATAGCTATTCCCCAGGCTGAGATTTTAACCTGGCACACATTGAATAAGGGGACCTGCAGTAGCGTAGTTGGTTGAGGCACTATGCTACAAGCTGGGAGGTTGTGGGATTGAATCCGGATGAAGTGGATTTTTTCAATTTACCTAATCCTTCTAGCCTCACTGTGGTCCTGGGGTCAGCTCAGCCTGTAACAGAAATGAATACCAGGAATGATCTTGGGGGTAAAGGGCGGCCGGCATGTAAGGCTGACAACATTACCGCCATCTGTTGGGAACCTCAGCATCTCACAACCCTATGGGCCCCCATGGTTTGTTACAGGGATACTTTTACTTACTTTTTTTCTTTACTTTTACACATTGAATAAGAAACAGAATGCAGACATCTTTACTGTGATGCTCGATTGTCTTATTCAGTAAGTCAAAGCCACATTGCAGAAGTGATGTAATCATTTGAATATACTGAATAGAACAAGTTAGTATGAAGCATGTCTGCATATCTGCTGTAATGTTACAGACCTTGGACAGTGACAGAACACAGTGTCAAGGTGGATCTTGACCCCACTGGCCAAATTGTGCATACTTTCAAATGTGAAGATATCCAGAATGCAGCATCACAATGAGGCATTGCTGTAATGTCTGTAAACTTTTACATGACCCTGTTCACTAATCTGATGTTTAGAATAGAAATGAGGACTCTTTCATTGAACTTTTGTTGATTATGGAACTTCATATCATTTTGAGCTGGTAAAACACAGCTGATATAATGTCATGATACAATACCAAGTTCTGGGACAGTTCTGCACCAAAATTACCCGATTATTTCCTTTATTTAAAAGAATAAACAGTACAAACTTGTGGGCATAATTAGAATATTGTAAAGAAATGTAAACCAAACTGTGCATGTTAGTTTTCCTTCGAAACTTTGTATACTGGTAAATACGTTGTAGATGTTGAAACATTTACTCGTAAACTCCAGTAAACCCAGTAATGAACAGGAATTTACCAGCTAATAAAGGTTAATAGTTGATTATTCAACATAAACTTTCTCTTTTATTTTAAATGTGACAGCTTCACCATTACATTTTACAGTTCAGTTCAGTTCTTTATAATTTATGTGCTTAGCCAGCTGCCACAAATTTAACAACAATAACAAATTTAATAGAAGAGATCAAATTAGGTGTATGGCCATACATTTGTCAGCCCCTTGGGGCCGCCCTCAGAAGCATGACAACAAAAAAGGAAATTTGCTTTGCACTTGTAGACATAAAAGGTGATTCATGCTTATAACATGTTTGAAAAGAAAATATTAATATTTCTTAAAAGTTTTTGCAATAGAGGCATAGTTGGTTAAGCCATCCTTGTATACAGCACACAGGCACTGTGGCACATCATATCTTCTGGTTTTTGATTGTCACATGTTTGAGTGACTAAAGGTGGGGTCCGGATTGTTGAATTGATTTATTGGATATTCCCAGCAGGTCGTCACTACAATCAGTTGTAACACTCCAAATTTTACTGTAACTATAACACACAACTATGAACAATGATAACACTCGAAAGGCTGCTCTAACTGCACCACATGAAATAAAGTCTTCATCATCTGCCTATTGAGTTCTCTTCGACTGCAAGCTGCTCTCCCTGTTGCTCAGTCTGCTCTGTACTGCTCTCTACTGCTGTCTGTGTTCTGCGTATGTGTTTGCATTCTTGTCTGTTCTGACCTACCCTCATAGCTTTGGGAGAACTGAATAGAGATCACTGCCTTCAGGGGTTTCAGTACTGTATATTTGTGTTTTAAGAAGTCATTACCATGGATATGCCTGTGTCCCATATCCATTGCCACGATAATTTGTTGCCGTGGGAACATGTTTAACAAGCCATTGCCTAACAATGGTCATCTTCCCTGACTCCACCATTCTGGCTTTCAGGCAACATGTCAGAGTATGCTGTTTTGCTCTTCATGTTTTTGTTTATCAACTTTCTGTTGTTTGTATTGTAAATGTACATACAAAATAGAATGAGTCATAAAATTCTAGGATGATGATCTTGCATTTCAGCAGCACAATCAATTGGGATAATTGAAAATTCTTTATATTTGCGTTATTTATGAATAAAGGATTTTTTGTTTTCATGAATTTTATAGCAATCTTGAAATGATTTTTCAAGTTATCTGTTTAAACTTCAAAAGATGGCCATGAAAATGTACAGAATGCTTTATTTTACATTGTTTTACAACTTAAAGTAGAACATTTGCAGGATTTTCATATCATCAGTATCACACATTAAGGAAACAATCATCTGTGTTAGTGACAAATGATTAGTGTTTTATTTGGATGTGGAGTTTAGTAGAAATAACCTGAGAAATGGAAGCCAGGTCATGGATGGTGCACCATCCAACATAGTGGTCTTAATATGGAAATTGTTGATAGAGCACAATATTTCACTGATGCTTCACCAACTGTATTCCTCAGATTTAGCACCTAATGAATTTTTCTCTTCCTACTGAAAAATATGCAGAAAAGAGAGGCTTTTGGACATGTGAAATGAAAAGTATTAAGTGCTATGAGAAATGGCGTGATTACTGCAGTAAGCAGTTTTTATTTTCTGACCAATTCATTTTTTTTATTTTTCTTGTTTCCTTAGGGTAAGACAGATGTGTCAGCATATTTGCCCAATGCCGTGTGGTATGACTTCTACACCCTGGCTGTAGTACCGGCTAGTGGTGTACAGCACACTCTACCAGCGCCGCTAGATACCATTCCCATACTGTTACGAGGTGGCAGTGTCATTCCAACGCAGACCCCCAATGTGACAACCACAGAAAGGTAATTCAGAAAGACTGTCCATTGAAATGAACAGTTAGTTGTGTTAAGGTGCATCATATGTTAGGTATCTATCCATGGGCTGCATTATGAAAAGGTGAATTTTTTCTGATACAGTAGAATGATTTTTAATACAGCTGGTCAGGCAGCAAAACCATGCTAAGAACATAATGAGTCTGTCAAACAGTGTTACTGGGTCAGCAGTTGTTATGGATAAGTTACTGAAGTTTTTCTATGAGGTAGTGTCAGTAAATAGGGCACAGATGGATATAAAACGTAAAACATGTGATATTCAAAACTGGGAAAAAAATTCTTATTTGACATATCCTCAACCAACAATGATACTCTTGTCCCATCACTTTACGGGTGCATTGAAACCAGCAGCATAGAAGTCTTTTGATTTTTGTCCCAGTGACACAGTTGATTCTCAACAGGATGACCTGGTCGGGCATTATCTGTGACTTTTGAACGTCCTTGAGAGAATTTCTTGACCCAGATGCGAACCGCTTTATGTGACAAAACAGTTCACATCGTAAACAGGGAACATTTCTGTATGAATATCCTTTCCGTTGAGTCATTCTGCCCACAAAAAATGCATGGCAGAATTCTGCTCTTTGGTAGTACATGTCTCAAGCAGTCATCCTTGTAGATTGTATTGATATTGCATAGAGTCATTGTTGTTCCTTAATTTTCAAAGTTATTTATTATGTGGTATGTGAGATAAGTTGAACATTTGTACTGAATATTTATTATAAGAACTTTCATAGTAAAGTTTTTTTTCCTACAAGATTCACCTCCCCTTTCAAATAAGGGGAAAGCATAAGCATATTCCCATTTTGGGAATGGAAAGATGCTCTCATGAGCTGCACAAAAGCCAATTGGAGGCCACATGCAGCAAGTTGGATAGACTTGGATTGTCGTATTAGAGCAAGTGAGAGACGTAAGAGGAACACTGATGGAGGGATAGACACAGATAAACAAAGGGTTTGTTTTAAGGTGACCCACAGTGGTAGAAATGTAGGAGAGGGATTCAGTTTCTTGACATCCTTGTGCTGAGTATAGTATGGATACCTGGTGCTGTTCCTAGGTTCATACCATTCACTTATAATGAAGTGACAATTTTGAGAACCATTGTGTTATTTTTTTTTTTCAGAGTTACTATGTATTTTATAGGGATCCGGAATAGCTCAGTTGTTATAGTGACTGGCTATGGGCTGGATGACCAAGGGGTTGGAATTTGAGTCCCTGTAAGGGCAAGAATTTTCTCTTCTCCATGTTCTCCAGACCAGTTCTGGGGCTCACCCAGCCTCCTATCTGATGGGAACAAGGGGCTCTTTCCCCTGGGGTAAAGCATCTGGTGTGTGAAGCTCTACACTCACCTCCATCTAGTGCTGAGGTCAAGAAAATGTGGATCTATACATCCA